GGAGGGAGAGGCCACGCGAGAGTGGGGGTCCAGGCTGCCACGTGGCTGAGTGCGTTTCTCTCTCTCTCTATCCCTCTCACGCTGTCTATCAGCAGCGTGAAGGAGTGTTGTAAAGAAAGACAAATAAAGACCGGATTCCAGAAGTCGCTTTCACGACCTTTATTACACATGCATTAAATTTGAAGCGTATGAACAACATCTCATTGGTGTATTTACTTTAAAATTCAAGGTGTTATTATTAACCTAAGTAGTTATGTTTAGGTGACTGAGGTGGTAGTAGTCAAGTGTAATTTGAGTTACATGTCAATTATTGTGCAATGGATTTGTCTGTGTGCACCTAGCCTGGCACGTTTAATATGGGTTTATTTTCTTGTTGATCAGTCTTTAAAGAGGTATATTTTTGCGTCTTGTTATGTGTGTCTGTTAGTTTATATAGGGTGATAATAATGGTTGGTGATGACGATGATAATGGGTGATGTGATGGGTGGTGATGACGATGATAATGGGTGATGTGATGGGTGGTGATGACGATGATTATTAATGGATGGTGGTGATGATGGGTGGTGGTGATGTCAGGTAGTGATGATGCGTGATGGGTGGTGGTGATGATGGGTGGTGGTGATGATGGGTGGTGATGGGTGGTGGTTATTATAGGTGATGATTGGTGATGAGGGTGATGATGGTTGATAATGATGTTAATGGATGGTGATACTGATGTATGGTGATGATGATGGGTGTTGGTGATGTTGGGTGGTAGGTGGCGATGATAATGGGTGGTGTTGATGAGTGGTGATAATGATGGGTGGTGGTGATGTTGGGTGGTAGGTGGTGATGTTGGGTGGTAGGTGGCGATGATAATGGGTGGTGTTGATGAGTGGTGATAATGATGGGTGGTGGTGATGTTGGGTGGTAGGTGGCGATGATAATGGGTGGTGTTGATGAGTGGTGATAATGATGGGTGGTGGTGATGTTGGGTGGTAGGTGGCGATGATAATGGGTGGTGTTGATGAGTGGTGATAATGATGGGTGGTGGTGATGTTGGGTGGTAGGTGGCGATGATAATGGGTGGTGTTGATGAGTGGTGATAATGATGGGTGGTGGTGATGTTGGGTGGTAAGTGGCGATGATAATGGGTGTTGATGATGGGTGGTGATAATGATGGGTGGTGGTGATGTTGGGTGGTAGGTGGCGATGATAATGGGTGGTGTTGATGATGGGTGGTGGTGATATTGGGTGGTGGTCGTGATGATGGGTGGTGATGATGATGGGTGCTCCTGATGATGATGGGTGGTGATGATGATGGGCGGTTATGATGATGTGTAGTGAGTTCAAGGAGACGTAGACGACGTAGTCGGAGGCACACTTATTTATTTACACACCGGGGGAATAACACAGCTCTTGAAGGGGTAGCGGCCCCTTCACCCGTAGCACACCACTAAACATGGTAAAACTGTAATAGTTGTCTGTCAAATAAGATTGGCAAATAAGTGTAGTTAAATCTTTTTTGCATGGTTAATCACATCTTTCCAATGATTACTCAGTTTGTAACTGTCATCACAGTTGAAATTATGACAATTTCATGAGAGCCCACCGAGTTGCTACAACTCGGTGGGCTCTCATGAAATTGTCTTTTCCGAGACCAAGGTTCTCTGCAAACCTCATGGCTACCATCAAAGGTTTGTACACGAAGCCATACAAATATACAAACACAGACATAATTTCAACCGTGATGACGGTTACAAACTGAGTAATCATTGGAAAGATGTGATTAACCATGCAAAAAAGATTTAACTACACTTATTTGCCAATCTTATTTGACAGACAAATATTACAGTTTTACCATGTTTAGTGGTGGTTTCCCTGTCACAGGTTGAGTCACAAACTGCACCTCTCCATAACAAAGGCTCAGCCTTTGTTATGCAGTCTATTCTTAGTCTTAAGCTTCACCTAAGAATATGAATCCTTGCAGTCACGAAAGCTTATATAAACGGAGTGGTAGCTCCTGCAATCTCTCATTTACTTGATACAGCTGTCGTGGCTGTGACGGTACCACCTGAAGACGGAAGCTTGTGTTGCCTCCGAAACGTCGTGATTTTTATTTTATTTTACTTTTTAATGTTTTTTACCTACGTGACTTTACCGAAAAAACCTAAGAATACTGGGAGCTTCTTCGGGAACTGATATTTTTTTCAATACACACGAGGTACAGTCCGAAAACACTTGGAAGAGCTACACAGCACACATGCCAGAACACATGCGATGTCATACGTATTATTTTCAGTATTACGTGTGCCAGACTATGTTAACACCACGGTGGAGACAATTATGAAAAATTCACAGCGATAACCTGAACTGAATGTGAACATATTCTTAGGTTTTTTTCGGTAAAGTCACGTAGGTAAAACATCAAAATTAATAAAAATAAAATAAAATAAAGATCACGACGTTTCGGAGGCAACACAAGTCTCCGTCATCAGGTGGGACCGTCACAGCCAGATTAGCTGCATCAAGTGAGGCAATGATTCAAGATGTAATCCCTTAAAAGCGAGTTGAGGGGGGAGGAGAGGGGGGGGGAGCTCATCAGAATGTGGTAGCCAATGAATGGAATGTATCGGGAGGGAGGGGGGGGGCTGGGCCAAAAGGGTGGGCCCAGCCCCCCCCTCCCTCCTGATGATACGTTCCATTCATTGGCTACCACATTCTGATGAGCTCCCCCACCCTCTCCTCCCCCCTCAACTCGCTTTTAAGGGATTACATCTTGAATCATTGCCTCACTTGATGCAGCTAATCTGGCTGTGACGGTCCCACCTGATGACGGAGACTTGTGTTGCCTCCGAAACGTCGTGATCTTTATTTTATTTTGATTAATTTTGATGTTTTACCTACGTGACTTTACCGAAAAAACCTAAGAATATGAATCCTTGCAGTCACGAAAGCTTCAAGTCTAGAATGAATGTGAACACACACTATGTTAAGGTTTAGTGAGAGTTTGACAGAGTGCTTGAGAGTGTAACAATGCGTGAGAGTGAGTGTGTGACAGTGCGTGACAGTGAGAATGTGGCAGAGTGAATGAGAGAGAGAGTGAGTTAGTGATAGTGATGATGGGTGGATTTTGGTGGTGATCATGGTGATGATGAGAAGTGTTGATGATGGGTGGGTGGTGATGATGGGTGGTGATGATGATGGGTGGTGATGATGATGGGTGGTTCAGGATTTTTCTTCACTTGTTCGTCCGGTTTATTAATGCTTATTCATGTGCATGTGGTAGGAAACCTGAGTGCCCAGAGAAACCCCATCTGTGAGAGGCGATGACACAAACACACCCTCTACAGATAGGTCAGCAACCTACTCCACACACTGAAACAAGATTCTCTCTGTTCGATCCACCTACCCTGCCACCATGCCCCCATTGTGCGCTTGCAGGCTCGCCAGCGGTATCAGTCTGCGGTGGAAGGGGGACTTTGCGTGGCGGTGCTGGACGTGTTTGAGGCATTCGTCAAGGCGAGCTCTCACTGCCGCTGTTCACAGCGTGTCCTCGCCATGGGCCTGTATCCACACTCGGTACACGACGTTTATATGTCCTACAAATAGTGATCGTTGTATGACATTTATAATAACAAAAAAATCCAGAAAAACGCATGTCAAAAATGTTATAAATTGATTTGCATTTTAATGAGGGAAATAAGTATTTGACCCCCTTTTATTTAGGTTCTTTCTCCGCACTCCGCTGGTCCCCTCCGTGGACCAGCGTCGTCTCGCGCGCGCCCCGCATGCGCTCCCTCGTCAGCTCCTCCGCTCTTCCTCACACCCCGCTGGTCCTGACAAGGGACCAGTGTCTCCTCTCGCGTGCCGCGCACGCTCCTCCATTAGATCCTCCACTCCCGCACTCCGCACACCGCTGGCCGACGGCGTGCTGAAGGTCCTTCGGCCACGTGGCCGATGGCGCGGATCTCCTCTCACCACCCAACGTGGCTCAGCCTCTTTACTCCGCAACTCCCCCGATCTCTTCCGGGCTTCCACTTATATCCTCTCCCCCACGTGACCCTGACTCCTCCCCTTCCAGATCGTCAGATACGGCCTTCCCATACTGCCCTGCTGGCTCCACCCCCATTCACCTCGCTTCCCATTGGAGCCGAGGTGAACGGCGGCCCCTCCCACAAGCCCCCCAGACCGGGCTGTGTGATTGGGCCAGAGCCCAGCAGGAACCCCATTTACACTCGCATTACACTTATTTAAGTCTGAGAGGTAACTTAAATAATTTTATTGTTAAATCTGAAAACCGTAATTGACCAAGAATTGTGGGTGGAATATAATTTTCAACTGGCTTTTGAAAAGGTAATGAATATTGCACAGCAGTAGTGACATTTTATCCAATTTACTGATGAGAACATTTAAAACATCCATAGCTGTGGTGGTGCTGTAATCCTCTTGAAAACCAGACTCTGCTGTGCATGAAATTGTGAGCTTTTCGGCAGCAGTTTATTTGGGATGTATGTTTTTCGAATATTTTAGTAACTTGATTTGAAGCTTTCGTGACTGCAGGAATCCATACTCTGGTTCTTTCGGTAAAGTCACGTAGATAGAAAAAAGAAAAATATATATCACGACGTGTCGATCGCAACACAAGCAGTCGTCCTCAGAACAACACAAGCGGTCGTGTGCCTCGGAACTGCTGAACCTGGTTCAGCCTAGTTCAGCAGTTCCACTGCTGGATAATTTTTTTCCGCCTGAGGACGACCGCTTGTGTTGCGATCGAAACGTCGTGATATATATATATTTTTTATTTTTTATACCTACGTGACTTTACCGAAAGAACCAAAGAGTATTTTAGTAACTGTTAAAAAAGAAATATTGGTCTATAATTATTAGGATCTTCTTTGAAGCCATTTTTATACTGTGGACAAATTAAAGTAGATTTCTACAATAGTGGAAATGTAATGGGGAAGGTGAGGCACTACTGCGACCAGGATTGGTTTCAACACGCAAACTAATCAACAATATAAACATGTATTGTTTTTTAATGTATTTTATACTAGAGTGCTGTGCTAAATGGCGTTACTAGCATGTAGATATTTTTGCATGTCTGTGATTAATGTTTAAGCTACGAGTAACAGGTGGATACCTATGAAACAAATATCATGAATTGTGGAAGACTGCAGGAACAGAATTAACATAAGATTAGAGATGCCATTGTTTGAGAAAGTATGGGGGTTTGTGTCTGATGGATGAGGTAACAGTGTCGGTGAGTTTTCTGGGTTGGGTGACAATGGGGTAAAGAGACAGCAGAGTTACTGGGTGGGAGACCAGAAGCAGTCTGCTCTACCGGTCCTAAACAGTTGCAGCACAAACAGCAGCCAGGGGAGGACCACTCTCGAGTGGGAGCTGATCCCAGGGCCTTGACCGCGATCCGACAGCTGAGCTCTGGCGGGTTGAAGATGCGCATGAGGTCCCCGAGCTGGTGGAGCGGCACGCTGCCCATGCAGCTGCTGCTGGAGAAGGGGACGCGCACCTTGGCCGCCAGCTGCTCGGCCTCGCCGCGCGTGCGGCCCAACGGCGCCTCCACGCTGAAGCCATTGGTGAGCAGCAGCGGCACGAGCACCCCCCAGGCGTGAGCCCCATGTTGAACACCCCCACGCTGGCCTGCGTGGCTCCCTCGCTCGCTCTGTCCCAGCTCCTCTTCCTGGTCTCGAGCTTGCGTCTCTTCTAGGGGGCGGGCAGCGATACGGAGGAAGAGTGGCAGACAGCCGAAGAGGGGGAGACAGCTGAAGAGTGACAAATGATGGAGAAGTGGGAGGATGGGGACATGGAGAAGGAGGAATGGGAGGGGATGGAGGATACTTGAGGTGGTGGTGGAGGAGACGGTGGATAATCAGAGATGGAGGAGCTGGAGGTGGTAGAGGAGCTTGAGATGGTATAGGAGGAGCTGGAGGTGGTGAAGGAGACAGATGGCGATGGTGGAGCAGGAGACGGAGGAGCTGGAGGTGGGGGAACTCACGAATCACTCACCCCTCACTCGCCCATTATCCAACCATCAACTGCCCTCACTCACCAACCAATCAATCAACCATCACCCACTCCTCACTCACCCATCACTCACCACTCACTTAATCATCATTTATCAATCTCTCGCCACTCGCCCACCACTCAACCATCAGCCACCCCTCAACTATCATCCAACGGTCACTCACCCCTCACCAATCACGAAAACATAACTCACCCCTTACCCCTCATTCACGACTCGTGTAACCATCACGCACTCGCCAATCACTCAAGCATCACCCATCCCTCACTCACCCCTCACTCACCACTCACCCATCACTCACCCATCACTCACCTGCCCCCTTTGTCTCTGTGTGTGGAGCAGCCCCACCCAAAGCAGCTGTTGGGAGAGCTGAGCAGGGAGGTGACCCGGACTGCGACCATCAACCGTCCAGTGCGCGCATGCCCCTCGTCAGCAATTCGCCCGAAGGTGATCTCGCCAATAACATTTACAATTTTTATTATTATCAACACGAATAATTTAGCACATTTGGCATTCACACCCTTCTTGTTCCATTCCGGGGATCTTCATCTTTGTCCCAATTGAGTGATTTCTGGTGTAACCTTTTATATTTGGGCCAAACCTGGACCGTGACGAGTGACGTCGTGGGATCTTTAACGTTTACTGCCAAGTGAGCGACGCAGGCTATTTTGCGAGCGTGTGCGGAGTATTATCGGCCAAACGTCAAGTTGCTACAAAGGTCACCTGGCAAGTGAAAAAAAATATTCCCTTTTCTAAAGTCGACAGACCTTCACTTCATTGGACACCTTTTAAATGATCCGTCATCTTCTGCTTCCCGAAATTTAGATTTTCGTAACCTCTGAGCGTGAACGACTTCTGCCCCTCTTCATCTAGGGCAGGGATCGGTAACCTGCATCTCCGGAGCCGCGTGTGGCTCTTTAAGGACTGCTTCGTAACGTTATTTATTCAGGACCACCATCTCCTATTCACCACACAGTGCATTACGGCTCTTGAAAGATTGAGTTTCTTTAACCGAATACATTTTTTTATCTTGTTATTTTCGTTACCGTCCTCTGGTCTAGGGCAATATCTTGGTCAAGGACCCCATGGCTGGGACCGTGCGGGTAACAGACTTTGGTTGCAGCTTCCATGAGACTTCTCAAAGTAAGTGACCTCAACGGCATGCATGAGTATATGTGTAGTAAGTATGTAGGAGGCTTGACGACAGGATCGGAGGCACACTTGTTTATTACACCAACTTGTGCACACACAGTAATTACGGGTCACTTGGCTACAGGGATACACAACAGCTAACCCCGCTAACCTATGCCCAATTCCTCCACTACGGAGCTAGGGGAGGCTATCTATCCCAGCCCTGGTCAAGCTGAGATCCCGGCACCCTGAGTCTCCAGACCAGCTCGTCAGTCTGGGCTCTCGGGGCCACGCCACCGGCTTGCCCTGGTCGGCCCTTATAAGGACAGCGAGCCAGGGGAGCTCTGGGGCCTATTCTAGTAGGTCTTCCTTCTTCTCTGGTTAAAGCTGAGTTCCGACCTCGAGCCCTCCGGCTCACCACCTTTTATAGGACTCGGCCCCCGGGAGGGGCCCGTGGGGGATGCAGGTGCGGACGTCGGTGCAAGCACCTCCCCTGTGTACGGCCGTAACCCCGCCCCTTGTGTTTGTTGGCCATCCGTGGCCATGCACAATTACACCTCAACATCCGTGGCCATGCACAATTACACCTCTACATATGTATGCACTATGAACCTGGCGACCCGAATTCAATTCCCGCTCATGAGCAACACCATTCGCAGCCGTTCCCTGTTCATCTTGGGGTGCGACAGCATCTGGCTCCTGCATTGTTTACATCATGTTCGACCATGTAATTCGAGAAGCCTTCTATGGCTGTACCTGTGGAATTTTAATCTGGTACAGATACAATGGGAGGCTGATCCTCCTGGTCAACCATGTTATGCACAGTGATGATCTGGTGGTTGCTGCCCACTGATGAGTTGAAGGTTCTGCTGCTAAACCTGCAGCGTGCCACTAAGAGATAGGCCTTACTATCAGCCTCACCAAATTAAGCACCTGCTCATGTATTTTGTATAATCCAATACTCCACTGAGTCAACTCCCCACCGTGATGGTGCAGTTGTGGAGAGAGTAGAGAAGTGTCCATACCTGGGCTGTGTGCTCATGACCAACTCCAGATTGGCAGCAGAGCTCTCACTCCGAATCAGTCAAGCGGCATTATATTTTGATCAGCTGCTTAATGCTGTGTGGAAGCTACCTGGTCTGTCACTCGACACAAAGATCACGGTATTTTCGGAAACAGTCTTGCCCTTCCTTTTCTTTGCTTGCGGAATGTGGACCCCTCTCATAGAATATCTGCACCGGTTAAAAATTTTCAGGTTGGCCTGCCTATGATCCATTTTGTCAATCTAGATTTGACGTTTTCATGACTGCAGGGATCCATACTCTTTGGTTCTTTCGGTAAAGTCGCGTAGGTATAAAATAAAATTAATTAAATCACGACGTTTCGGTTGTAACACAAGCGCCCGTCATCAGGTGGGACAACCACAGCAAGAAACAATTGCTGAAGTGGGCCCCTTCAACCCGATAGCCTAAGGGAGGTACACACTCCCTTCTAGCACGTCCTACACACTCCAGGCTACTCTACACACCGGTCCCTTGCCACGGCGGCTAAGGGAAGACTGGACCGACCCGTCCCAGGCAGGGTACGGGGCTCACCCCTGGTCCGCTACACCACGGCTCTGACCAGAGCCTCGGGGAGGGTCCCAGGGTGTCCGAGCTACCTCGGGTCCGCCACAACCCGGCTCTAACGAGAGCCTCGGTTGAGGGTTCCCGGGTGCTGGTCCAGTTTTCAGGTCTTCAGATGTATTCAAGCTTGAGTTGGCGAACACTGCTGGACCCGTTCAGAGGATCGGCTTTTTATCCCCAGGTTGGGCTTACCCCTCCCCTCATGACCCCCCCTCCAGAACCTTCTGGAAGGTCTTAGAGGGTCTTAAATCTTAAGGGGTCTTAGGAAGGGGTGAGGGGAGCCCATCCCCCTCAGCCCCTAGCCCCTGGGGGGTCTGGGGTGTCAACCTCCGGTCACGGGCCTCCCACCTCGCTCTGTCTCGGCTGCCCCCTGTCGGCCCGTGAGCGTGCTGGCAGGTAAGCTCCTTACAGCGCCTTGTTATGGCGCAACACCTACGTGACTTTACTGAAAGAACCAAATATCCATTTTGTGTTTAACCAGGCTGAATTGTGTGAGGAGAACATAAATCCTTCAAAGATCTGAACACATTCCCATCAATCTTAATTTGGAGCTTTCGTGACTGCAGGAATTACTCTTTGGTTCTTTCGGTAAAGTCACGTCACCGGCTTGCCCTGGTCGGCCCTTATAAGGACAGCGAGCCAGGGGAGCTCTGGGGCCTATTCTAGTAGGTCTTCCTTCTTCTCTGGTTAAAGCTGAGTTCCGACCTCGAGCCCTCCGGCTCACCACCTTTTATAGGACTCGGCCCCCGGGAGGGGCCCGTGGGGGATGCAGGTGCGGACGTCGGTGCGAGCACCTCCCCTGTGTACGGCCGTAACCCCGCCCCTTGTGTTTGTTGGCCATCCGTGGCCATGCACAATTACACCTCAACATCCGTGGCCATGCACAATTACACCTCTACATCACCCCCCCCCCCTGTACAGCTCGCAGCCGTCCCCGGCTGCAAAGAAAATCAGAATAAAGGTGCATCCCTCCCGAAAACCGTGTGTGTGCCTCGCGTAATTTTAACAAGAACAAAGAGAACCATAACAAGAACAACAACAGGAAGAGAGAGAAAAAAAATAATCCGACGCACCCCCCCGAATAAATACCCCAAAACCAACATATATACACGCACTCCGGACGCCACCCCCCGCACTGTCTGCAAGGCCCCCCAACGGCCGACCTCACAATAGTCTGCGCGTTTTGGCGCGCGTTCTCGCAGCGGGCCCGTCACAAGGGCCCGTCCCGGCACGCTCAGTGGCGGTTGTTGACGATCCGGGTGCAAGAGAGTCAGGCGTCGCTGCCGAGTGACCCCCGACCCCTCCGGGAGGGGTTGGCGGGCGTGGACCCGTCACTCCTGTTGCACCTGGAGACGGAACAGTTGATGTCAGGTTAGGCGAGAGCAGCGACGTCGGGGAGTCGGCGGAACCCTCACACGTTTGGCCATGCGTGTGTGTGTGTGAACCACGGGGCGGCGCGATGAACGGTTTCAACCTTGAGGGGTGCACGTACCACCGACGCCTCCCCCATTTGACGCGAACACATTGCGGCCGCAAGACCTGTACGACCTCCACTGGCCCCCGCCACGGCCGTACCAACTTTGACGAGGTTGCCAGCGGCACCTGGGGACAGTGCAACCATGCCCTGTCCCCTGGTTTCCATTCGAACACATGTACCCGCCCCAGCCGAAGCCTCTCGTTCGCCCTCTGGCGGAGTTCAGAATTTTGCACGGCCGCTTCCCGCGCCTCAGATAATTTGCTGATGTTAAATTTAACGTGTTCGGACAAGTTAGACTTCGCCTGAGGCGCCGAGAGCTTCAGCTGGGTCGTCACAGGGGGGTTAGCCTCGCGGCCATACATTAAAAAGAAAGGGGAAAATCCGGTGGCCGCATGGGGAGCCATCCTGTAGGCCTGCAACACACCGGCTATGCGAAGGTCCCAATCTGTCTGGGATACCGACACCTGCTGGGACAGCATAGACGTGATGGTCCGATGCAGCCGTTCCACCATCCCGTCAGTTTGTGGGTGATACGGGGAGGTCCGAATTTTCTCCGTACCCAAGAGGTCGCACACCTCGCGGAGGAGTTTTCCCGAAAAATTGTTACCCTGGTCAGTAAGCAGCCGTTCCGGAGCACCCTTGTCGAGGACATAGCCCTGGACAAAGGCCTCCGCGATGGCTGCTGCCGACTGGTTGGCCAGGGGCCAGGCCATAGGCCATCTCGTGAAGTATTCGACCCCTGTCAATAAATACCTATTCCCCCTGGGTGTAGCGGGAAATGGGCCGAGTATGTCTAGAGCAACGAGCTCGTTAACCCGGGAAACCTTTATGGACTGCAGCGGAGGGTTGGACCCCCTAGCAGGTGGCTTCCGCTGCGCGCATTGCGTGCACGACCCCAGGAGATCCCCCACGTCCTTTGCAATGCCCGGCCAGAAGAAATCGAGCTGGAGCGTGGCAAAGGTCTTGTGGACCCCCAAGTGCAGAAGCCGCTCATGAACAGCCCATACCAACTTACCCCTTAATGCTGCAGGCACCACGAGCCGCTGGCGGCGGGTTTTTCCGTCCCAGTGCATTAAAAGACCCTGGAACAACCCCCACGAGTCAACGTTTGCCACCCCCTGACCAACCCCCCCCGGCGCGACGGCGCAGAGCGAGGAGGGAGGTGTCCTCCATTTGGAGGCGTCCCCATTCCGCGACCGACAACCCCAGCAACGAATCCCTCCCTTCTTGCTCGATAGGATCCGAAGCCAAAGGCGCATCGGCGGCGGCCACGAGGACCAAATCGGTGGTGACATTCGGGGGCCTACAACGCCCCGAACCCAAGAGGCAAGCGCACTCCGAAGTGGGTGGCAACCGCGACAGGGCGTCAGCGTTCGTGTGGCGGACGCCCTTACGATATGTGGTGACAAAGTCATAGTCTTGGAGAATCTCCGACCATCGAGACAACTGGCCCGATGGTTGTTGAACCCGCAGGGCGTACTGTAGGGCCGCATGATCTGTACGGACGGTGAAACGCCGACCGTACAGATACGGGCGGTACTGCTGAATGAAATAAACAATTGCCAATAATTCCCGACGGGTAACGCAGTACCGTTGTTCGGCTGGAGACAGTACCCAACTACCGTAAGCCACCACATGCTCTACGCCCCCAATGAGCTGGGACAGCACGCCCCCGATGCCCGTGTTACTTGCATCTGTATCGAGCAAGAAGGGTTGTGAGAAATCGGGGTAATTCAACGGCGGAGCCCCCACCAGGGCATTCCGGAGGGCGCGAAAAGCAGCTTCCTCCTCCGGCCCCCAATGAAACCTGACTCCCTTGGACGTCAAGGAATGCAATGGTTTCGCGATCGTAGCGATGTCAGCCACAAACCGTCGATAGTACGACGCGAACCCAATGAAACTCCTGACCTCTCCCACCGAGGTGGGAGTCGGCCAGGAGCTGACGCCTTCCGTTTTGGCGGGATCAGTGGATATCCCCGAGCGCCCAACAATGTGACCCAAATACCGCACCGATTCGCGGAGCAAATGGCACTTCTGCGGTTTAAATTTTTAATTGGCAGCCCGCATTTTGAGAAAAACAGCACGCAACCTCTGGAGGTGTTCCTCGAAGGATTTGCTAAAGACGATGACATCGTCCAAGTAAATTAAACACGAATCCCATTGCAAGCCTGCCAAGACCAGTTCCATTAACCGCTGAAAAGTTGCCGGCGCAGAATGTAAACCCATCGGCAACCGGTTAAATTGGAAGAGACCTTGCGGTGTACGAAAAGCAGTTTTAGGTTTTGATTCGTCATCCAGAGGAAGCTGCCAGAATCCAGATAGTAAATCGAGGGTGGAAAAGAATCGCGCCCCCGCCAAGGCATCGAGCGACTCATCCATTCGAGGAAGCGGGTACGCATCTGCCACAGAAATTTTGTTCAGGCGCCGAAAGTCGACACAAAACCGCAGTGAGCCGTCGTGTTTTTTCACCAAAATGATCGGCGCGCCCCACGGGCTGTTGGAAGGGGAAATGATATCGGCGGCCAGCATGTCATCAACAGCCGATTTGACATGATCCTTTTCGGCGGGACTCAACCGAAAGGGATTTTGGCGGATTGGCGCGCTGTCACCCGTGTCAATATGGTGTCGCAGCAATTTAGTACAACCAATATCAAATTTGTGTTGACTAAAAACGTCAGCAAATTCATTCAGGAGAACTCGCAGCTGCGCGCGCTGCGAGTCGGACAGGTCCACTGATCCCGCGCAAAGCGCATCCAGCCATCCGTCATCACAGTCCGAATGCGGTCGCGACGGAGGATCGGTGGTTACCTGACCCACGAGTGGTTCCTCATAGGGTACCGGCGTTGCGTGTGCAAGCACGGTCCCTTGAGGAACCACGGCCGTTCGCGATCCTACATTAAGGACTGCAATGAAGGGGTCCCCATCCCCTTTCACCATGGTCTGAGCTGCTAGCAAATCGGGTCCATTGACCCCGGCTCGAGATGGTCCCAACAAGACCCCCCGATCCGCAACCCCTTCAGCAAACGGCCGACGCAACCTAAGAGGGACGAGCATCTGAGCTCCCGGGGGTACGCGCACAGTTTTTGTCACGAGCGCCTGCACGGTGGCAAACGCCCAACGCTCCGTGGTGGGGGAAGACAAAAATGTAACACGTCGGCCCGATGGGAGCTCGATGCACCCCTGGTCAATCAAGATACGGATGGGCATTTTGGCCAAGAAATCCGTCCCCAACAGGCACGGAACCGCGAGTGAGGAGGAAACCAAAACAGGGCCGGATAATTTAATATCTCCAATGCAAATTTTGGCGCGGATTTGCCCAATAATGCCCAGCGAGCCCCCGTTAGCAGCATAGCATGGCACGTCAACAGGGAGCAAGGGACGACTTTGAACGGGAAGGATGTTATAAATCAGATATAATGGTCGCCGATGCCCTTGTGTCAATTAAAATCCGCACCTCTACCCCATCAATATGACCGACCACAACCGATGATCCCGCCGACGCGGCAACGACACGATGGGCGAGCTCCGACCACTGACCCGGTTGGAGCGCTCGCCGCATTTCAGAACAATCGCGCGCAACGGGCGGCGATTTTCGAGCCCTGTGTAGTTGAGCGCGTGAGTGTGTGTCGGATGTGTGCATGGGCCAAACGTGTGAGGTGCCACGACTTGCCGTATTTCTCTGCTGGAGCTTGGGTGGAGACGGCGTGGCGTCCTGACGAGGTGTCGCCCCGCGCTGACGGGGAGCCCGGCACCCTGACGCAACGTGGCCTTGCAGGCCACAGTTGTAGCAGCGTGTGAGCGCCCCAGATGGCCTGGGCTGCTCCTGGCGGCTCGGTCCATTCCGAGCCTGTGGTGCCGCCGATCTCCATTCCCCCCGCCCCTCCACCCCGCAGACCTCCTCCGATGGGAGGGCGGTGGCCGCCATGGCATGGCCGGCCACCCCCTTGGCCGCCTTACGACGCAGGGACCGCAAGCCCCCGTGGATGTGGCGCGCGACCAGCAGGGACGACATCTCTGCGTCGTCTTGAGCCAAGACGTTGACGTCCAGCTCATCAGCGAGTAGCAGCAGCTTCTCAGCCACCATGGCGTCCACTCCCTCCTCGTCCATCCGTGGAAAAGCTGCCTTCGCCAGGGCCAGGAGAGCCGTCCGGAAGGCCAGGGGCGATTCGTTGGCGCCCCGATGCCGATCGTGGAACAGCTGCCTGCAGTCGGAAGGCGGCCCATAGACGGCTGACAGCAGCTGCAGCGCCAGGTGCAGTGTGGCGCGCTTTTCCCTAGGCGCCGAGGTGAGGGTAGCCAGGGCGTCGTTGTCCAGCATTGCCGGCAGCGCGCGTAGTGCCTCGGCGTCCGTCCAGTTCGCCATCTCTTGATGAGCGATGAACCGCCTTTTGAAGCCGCCCCAGTCTCCGTCGGCGCCCACGAATTCTTTGAGAGGCGGCAGACGCTGCTGTAACGCGACGTCCGTGGCTGCCGATCGCTCTCCGTCGCTCCCAGCAGATGATACAGTGTGGGCGGGCTGTGAGCATGGCATCGCCGGTCGCTCTGATGTTGACGCGCTGGCCGGTGTTGATGATGTCACGGCTTGTGCTTGGCGCTCAGCAGTCACCTGACGCGGG